ACTTCACAGGGTCTATAGGCTTTGGGGACCCGGAATGTATAGTCTGACCTTCGCGCTCATAATCATAATGCCGCACTTGTAAGAGAAATCTATTCGCATTCACTTGCAACAAAAACCTCTGGTCAGCCGGTCCCTGTAGGAAGGACGCAACCTATTGTGTTGCAACAGCTCATTTATGTCCTTCACCAAAGGCCCCAAGGAGATCTGATCTGGCCCCAGAAACAGGATTATCAGCGTGTACATTAAAGAGAGCAATATACATCCTGCCCGGAACGGAAGCAACTGGGGTAGTAGCAAAAGGGCAGCGTTTGACAAGGTCGCCCCGGTAGCAACTCAGGTCGAGGGAAGCCTGCGGGGGAGATCCCGGATCCCGGCAGGGGGATCCCCTCGGGACGGGGTTTGAAGGAGCGTGGTAGGGAAAGGAGGTCAACTTATCCAAATATCTAATATCTATAAAACACACGCCTATGACCCCCTACCTACCCCAGGGCCTGAATATATGAAGACCACACAAACACAAACGCGCGCACACACACGTGCCCTCCTCTCAAAGTTTAGACTGTGCCAACTTTCAAATACTCGGCCCGTGCAAATGCAGTTTATCTTATATTTCGTTTTGGGAATGTATGCTTAAAATAGTAATAATGGTGGTAATGATGTGAAGGAATAACAACAACAACAACAACAACAACAACAACAACAACAACAACAACAATATCCCCAGAGAGAAGCGGAGGAAGAACCCAAGAAAAGAGAAGGATTTTTCATTTCCACGCTTGCGTTTTCTTGGCTTTTCTTACACTTCTCTCCCGCTTTTGGCTTTTGGACGCTCACGGTCACAGAGAGACTCCGACTCGTTTTCTGCGACTGGAGTGGAAACGATTTGACACTCTAAGAATAGCGGCGGCCGCGGCAGCCAGACAGAGGAGGCCGTCCGAAATGCCAAGCGGCAACTTTGGGCTGCTGCTGCACGGGAGCCTTCGCGCTTCACTGGGTCGAGCTCCTTAGCAAGGACCTTACGCGAGGAGAGGGGGAGAGTCGAGTCAAACTGCAGGAGCCGAAAAGGGAAAGGCCGGGCCCTCTCTCGGCTTGGAGCCTCTTTTTCCCCTTCAGCTGGTCCAGCAACAACCTAAACGCTGCAAAGGCTGCGGTCTCCCTTGAAATCGGCAAGGCCCTTTAACTGACCCCCCCCCCCGACGAATCTGAGCTATTTCTTTTCGGATCGCAACCACAAAGGTAAGAGAACTCTTCCTTCCTTCCTTCCTTCCTTCCTTCCTTCCTTCCTTCCTTCCTTCCTTCCTTCCTTCCTTCCTTCCTTCCTTCCTTCCCTCCTTCCTTCCCTCCCTCCCTCCTTCCTTCCTTCCCTCCTTCCTTCTTTCCTTCCCTCCTTCCTTCCTTCCCTCCCTCCCTCCCTCCCTCCCTTGTTCCTTCCTTCCTTCCTTCCTTCCTTCCTTCTTCCTTCCTTCCTTCCTTCCTTCCTTCCTTCCTTCCTTCCTTCCTTCCTTCCTTCCTTCCTTCCTTCCTTCCTTCCGTCAACTCTCTGGCTGCTTCAAATTTGGCAATATTTTAATTAATACAACACATATAAATCAACATATAATGCAATGTACATGAATCTATTTCTTTTTGGGTGTGAAGTATTACAACCATTGAGGTGAGAAGCCCTTTCCTTTCCTTGCCTTTCCTTTCCTTTCCTTTCCTTTCCTTTCCTTTCCTTTCCCGATTCTCTTTCCCCAGCTCTCTAGCTCTCCAATTTTTGGCCCATTTCGGGATGGCGGGTGCGCGCGCGCTGGTTGGCGGGTGCACGTGCGCGCGCGCCCCAGCACCTAATCAAAACTATGGGCCCGCCAGCGCATTTATCATCCCATTACTGTAACAAATCCGGGCTCCCACTCCATGAAAGGTAAAATGAATTACCGACGTTAAGCCGTCAATAAAGTCATTTCTGTAAATGGTGTCTCCGAAGGACTGCAGCATTATTCAACCAGCTTTATCAGCAGCTGGGAAATTACGTGGAGAGGCGCGCAGCGTGTAATAGGGGCCCTGCTTACTTTGATTAAGCGCTGTGCCAGGGAATAGTGACAGTGCTTTTTGACCAGGTTTTATTCGCCGTCTTCTGATGAACGCCAAGCTGATCAGGCGGAATGAAGAGTAATTAAAACCTATAAATTATCTTTCGCGGTCCTTCTCAAGGCGTCTCTTTGCAGGCGAGATAAGGCGGCGGACCCCCATTTACGGCTCTGAAAGGGACGGAGGCACACAAAGGCGACGCCGCTAAATGGGATATTGATAGTGTCCTAATTAGAATTTAATTAAGTACCCAGGCTCGCTTTTGGGATAAAGATTTCATTTTTTTTTTCCTCGTCCTCCTCCTCTGTTTTTGCGAACTAAAATATAAATAAAGCCCGATTTTGGAAAAGGGAGGGGAAACTCAACGAGAGGAATGTGAATGGCCAGATGTTCAACAGTCGTTTAATTTCGGCGTGTGCGTGATGTGTTGATTCTCTTGTGCCACTTAGCAGCCGATCTGTAATGGTCGCTTTTGAAGTTTGTTGCAAAACTGGGCCTTTCTGGGCTAAAGGCGCGATTTAAAGCTTCCCTCCTTTAGCCAGACCCGAGAATGCAATGAATAAGGAACAAAGGCGATTCCTTGACTTGTTAAGAAAAGAGAATCCGTCCTTTGGGCGGCTGCGGGGGGAATCGCAGGCATCCCATTTTAAACCCGGGCTCTCTTGAAACGATCCGATTTGTCAGCCTTTCAAAAAAAAATCTATATACAAACCCACCTTTAAAAGAAAAAGAAGGAATCGGGGAGCGGAGCGAAAGAGAGAGTAACGACCGATCCAGGTGATGCCGAGTAGGGGCATCCCGACCCTCCGCTCCGTGGCGAACGGGGTCGCAGGTTGTCGGTCCGCAGGAGCACCTGTAACCGGCGTGGGCACCGACCCTGCAGCGAAAACAGTAGCTCCGGGGGCCCAAGAAATCCTCCCCAGTCACCCTCCGCTCAAAACCCACCATTGTGGTATTTCGCGACACTGCAGCCTTTCGGAGCTTAAGCGTGCATTTGCGTGTAGGTGAGAGAATGGGCTCGAGGGAGTAGGATAACCCTCCCGCAAACACTAGGAAAACGACCTATATTCACAACCAACCCCAGGCCGATGCGGTCTCTCCGAGCCTTAGGCAAATTGCAGAAGGCCTAGTGTGGATGTTACTGCTAGCCGTGACTTTTCGTGTGTGTGTGTGTGTGTGTGTGTGTGTGTGTGTGTGTGTGAGTGAGTGAGTGAGGGGAGCAAAAATGGCAGCTCCCTCTCGAGTGAACTAAGCAGCCGACCACCGTTGGATTCTTGCACTACTAGCCGTTTTGGCTAAGAACCCCTTACATTTTAACCCGACGCAACTCGCTGGCTGCTTCTCCCGTGCATCCATCCCCCTGTTCACGTGTGAAAACGCTGTGGGAGAAGTTGCCCACCTCTCAGGAAAGAAGGAAAGGGTTAACCGGTGTCTTCGGACTAGAGAAAAGTGGGTGTCCAAAGCACTACCAAATCAGCCCAGATCCCCGCAGCCCCTACTACTTCCCTACGGCAGGAAGAAAAGCCACTTCGCTCGAGGCACCAGCCTTGTGGGAGACACCTGCCAAAGCAAGGAAGTTAGATCTGAGCAACGGCGTTCCAGAGATCCCACGGCAATTTCCCCTTTCAGACCAGTGCAACTGGAAAGCGCAGGCTTTGGGGCCAAAGCTAGCTCGAAGTGGTCTTTTTAAAAATCCGTTTGGACAACAACTCTTGGATCTTGGGTTTTTCAAGCATATTCATTTCAAATATGGGATCCATCCCGAATGCAGACGCAAAGCACAAAGAGAGAGGTGCGATTAGAGACGGGGAACTTCGCTCCCTCCCCTCCCGGCCATGTTGCTACTTATTCTCAGCAAAATGTATTTTTTTTTCCCCGTTTAGGGTCCGGTTTTGTTTTTGGTTCAGAAAAAAAACTACCTAGAAAGGATCCAAATCCTTTCCTTTACATTTTCTTAATGGAAAACCAGGAAGGAGTTTTAAAAAAAAAATCACAAATTCCTTTTCCCGGGTTTAGAACTGACACTAGAGAGACCAAAAGAAAAAGAGAGAAAGAAATACAGCACAGAGAGAAGGTCTTAATGGAAGTCGGAAAAGTTTTCGGTAGCGTTTATTTCATATTTGGTTGCTGAGAGTTATGACTGGATGAAAAAAAAAATCCTCGGCTGGAGGGACGCAGGAACGGGGAGCGCGGTCTAGGAGGAGAGGATGCGCCAAGCAACGCGTAAATCTCTCGCTCCCTTTGAATTAGCCAGCCCCTTGGATAATGTAGCTGCAAAGTTCTAATGCAGCCCATTGGCTGACGTCAGGGGCGTCACAGAATTGTGGAGCCGCTCATTGGCTCTTTCCACGTGCGGGCCATCCTCACGTGCTTCCGGTTGGAATGAAAAAAAAGTGTGGTTGAGAGATTTTTTTAGGGAGAGTTTGTTGCAAGATCGGAGCTGTCAGAGATTTTGCTTTTTTTTTTTTTTTGCTTTTTTTCCTTTTCCTTTTCCTTTCCTTTCCTTTTTTTAAAAAAAAAGGAACGTGGAGGAAAAAGAGGGGAAGAAAGGTGGGAGAAAAACATGCCCGCGCGAGTGGGCGATTAAAGCGTCAGCCAAGACCGATCCATGGGCAAAGCTGACTCTTGACACTTGGGGAACCCCAACGCCGCGCCATTTGGAGAAAGATGGGTAGACTGTGAGGACTTTGGGGGAGGGGGCGGAGTTTGGGGGGGGCTGGTTTTGTTTTGATCTCTCTCTCTCTCTCTCTTTTCCGAGAGGGGGGGGATGAGAGGGAGAGGGAGAGAGAGGGCGAGACTGGAAATATAAGATAACTGCAAAAAAAGCCAACCCGTCCAAATGCCCGAGTCTTCGGATATCTCTCTCTACTAGACCCCGCTCTAAACCAACAAGTGGATTTTTTTTTTCCGGGGCGTCCAATTTCGCCTCCCCCCCTTTTCCGCCTAACAAAATTCTCAGAACCGGAATCCCCTCCACCACCTCCTGGACTGGCGAGGTGGGGGAGCCCGGAAAGTGGGGGGCCAAGACAAGAGCCGCGATCTCCGGAGCTGGCGACCCACTATGGAAGAGCAGGCGGACGCTAAAAGCCAGCGCGACTCGGCTCCGACTCCAGTCGGCGGGAGCAGCGGCAGCGGGAGCGACGGCGAGAGCGTCCCGGTGTCTCCCGGCGGCCACCCTCCCTTGTCTCCCGCCGCGCCTTGCCTCGTGCCTCTTCCCCATCACCCGCACCACCAGCACCACCACCAGCACCACCACCACCACGGCCACCAGCACCACCAGCACCAGCCCCAGCCGCAGCCACAGCAGCAGCAGCAGCCGGCGCCTCCGCCCCCCCAGCAGCAGCAGCAGCAGCAGCAGCAGCCGAGGCCGCCCCCGCCGCCGCCCCCGCAGCAACAGCAGCACCGCACCACCAACTTTTTCATCGACAACATCCTGAGGCCGGACTTTGGCTGCAAGAAAGAGCACCTCTTCATCCTGACCGGCGGCCCTGCGGCGGTCGGAGGAGGAGGAGGAGGGGGAGGAGGGGGAGGCAGCGGCGGCGGCGGCGGCGGCCGGGAGAGAGACCTAGACCGCGCGGCCAGCTCAGGTAGAGAAAATGTCAGCTCACTGCTCGGCAGGCCCCTCCACCCGGCCTCCTCTCTCCTTAGCGCCGACTCGCCCGGGAACCCCGACAGCTCCTCCACGGCCTCCAAAGCGAGCCCCGCCGCGGCGGCAGCAGCGGTAGGGACGGCCAAGCCCCCCTCCACCACCACCACCACCGCCACCGCCACTACCACCACCACCACCACCACCACCTCCTCCTCCATCTCCTCCACCTCTTCCACCTCCTCCTCCTCCTCTTCCTCCTCCTCCTCCTGCTCGGAAGGGAGTGGAACTAACCCGGCGAAGTACGGGGAGCACGCCAACCCGGCCATCCTCCTCGTGGGCTCCGGGAATGGAGGAGTGGGGGCCTCCGGCGATTCTCAACAGCCGCTGGTTTGGCCGGCCTGGGTTTACTGCACTAGGTATTCAGACAGACCGTCCTCGGGTAAGAATCCTCTTGAGAACCCAACACCCCCCCCTTCCCTTCCCTTCCCCCCCCTTCTATCCTCTCGGGTGATTGTTGGTTCGGCTAAGCATGTCAGTTCCCCTCGCTCTCCACTCCCCCCCCCCCACCCCCACCCCTCGGGACGATCAGCCTGTGACCTTCCTGTCCCTCTTCCGCCTCGGGATCCAAATCTGGGGCCGGGGAGGGGCGGGGACTTGCCGCGGGACCCAGCAGGCTCGGGGTCCTTGTCCCAAGGTTGTCCCCCTCAGGGGCTCCGCTGACACTCCGGCTGGGTTAGGAGTTCCGCTTTGCCTGCGTTTTGGCTGGAAGTTGGGTTGGTTTCCAAAGAAACGGAACCGAGTCATTCTTTGGAAGTCCAGCCGCTGGGGAGGCGGGCAAAGGAGGGGGGGGGAAGGTTGTGGGTTGGTTGTTTTATCTTCTGGCTCGTCTTGTTCCTCACTCCCCCCCCCCCCGCCAACACACACCGCCGTTTTAAGACCCTTTATGCTCTAGAACGAAGAAGCCCTTTCCCCTAAAAGGTTCCACCTCCCTCCTAAACGCAGAACAATCCGAGTTGGGGAGGTCGTTGGGAATCCAGCAGCCTCTCCCAAGCGGGCAACGGCGACCCTTCGGCGGAAAGCCTTTGGACCCGGGCTGGCCAACGTGTCCGTTTCGAGAGGCCGTTCCCTGCATCCTGATTATTATTATTATTATTTTGGGGCGACTCTTTCAGCAAGGAAGGCTTGAGCAAAGGCGCCTCTTTCCTTCGTTTTTCTAGTTACGGGTGCGTAAAGTCAAGGGAAGGTTTTCAATTTTGGAGATCCGAGTCGAGCTGGTAGAATCGGCCAGGCGCGTTGGGCGACTTCGGCGGCGAATTGTTTCTTCCGCGCGGAGGAAAGGTCGCCCTTAGTTCTGGGCTAGTGCGGAGCGGTGGGTTGAATGAGACACCTGCACCTTGAGCAGGCTGGATTATTATTTTTTTGGGGGGGGGGGAGGCCCAGGCAGGCGGTAGGGGCCGAAAGAACTGAAGGGCCGAAGATGTGCAAGCGTGCGGGGCGCGAAGGGAAAGGAGAGGGAAAAAAAAAAAAAAAAAAAGGCTCGGTGCAAGGCAGGCCTGGCGTGGCGGAAATCAAAATGTAGGCCCCTGGCCTTGGCTTCGGGGGTGTGTGTGTGTGTCTGGTCTTCTCTTCGTAGATGTAATCCCGACCCCATATCCAGTCATTTAATGTGGCTTGGCCACCTTCATCCGCCAGGGCAGCAATGCCACCCTATTTGTCCTCGGGGTTCCCCCAACTCAAAGAGTGGCGGGTGGACACACACAGACACACAGACACACAGACACACACACACACACACACACACACAGAGAGAGAGAGAGAGAGAGAGAGAGAGAGAGAGAGAGAGAGAGGGGGGCTTTCCTCGATTCCCTTCCCAGAGCAAAGGGAGGGAGAACCGGGGAAAAAGCCTTCGAGCGGCGGGTCCTTCCTCCGGCGCTCCCCAGCCAGCTCCTTTCCGCAAGGCGATTGATCCAGTCCGCCGCCGCCGCGACCGTGCGGCTATTGACACCTCCCCGCGCCTGGAAACGTAGAAAAGCCACTGTGATTGACTAAACCAGTTGATTGAGTGATTGAGCTGTCAGGACTATCTCGTCCGCGCCAGGACCGCGGGATTTTAGCCCTCCTTTCCCAGCGGCCGCCGCCTTCGCCTGGTCAAGACCGGGCTCTGGATTTTAAAGATGTTTGCGCCCCCCCCCCCCGGAAAGCAGAAGGCCTCCTTCGCTCACGCGGTTAGGCCAACCTGTTGGCACTCCTGGCTTCCTGGAGGGGTTGGGGGGCGAGGGTTAAATCTGTCCCTTCCCGGGCCCTGCGCTTCCCTTTTCCAACATCTATCTTTTATTTGATTTTTATTTTCGGTGTGGAGGCGAAGGCGGCGTGCTCTAAGCAGGTGTCTGTTTAGTTCTCCCAGCTGCTCTCTTTAGAGACCAGGCCGAATTAGGGGCAGAATCTGTTTTCCAGGTCAACTGGGCAGGATCTGACTCTCGACTTTCACCAACTAGGCCAACACAACATCTCCAGCAGCTTTTTTGGGGGGGGCGTGCGTTTGGAGAAGGGGAGGGCGGTTCTCTGGGAAAAATATCGATCTGAAATCTGCCGTTATCCTTGGGTTTTTTTTTTTGTTTGTTTGTTTAAGGGGAAAGCAGATTTGTACAGCCATCTGCGTTTTTGCCTCCTGTACCTTAACGCCCGTGCGTGAACACGCGCCTGTATAGATATCAGCGTTGCCTTTTTATCTAGTCAAACTCGAAATAAGACAAGAGTTGTAACTTTGAGGCCCACTATGTTTCCATCTGGGATTTTTTCCTCGGAACCTTAAGAAAAAAAGCTCACTTGAAGTTTAGCGAGGAAATCGAAAAGCAATGAATTTCCCTTTTATACTGTAAAAGACCTTCGCCCCCAAAACACGCACACCCAAACACACACGAAGGAAATACTTTTTTTCTTTTCTTTTCTTTCTTTTTTTAAGGAGCGTCTTTACAATATTTATTATGACTTTGGAGAATAGATAAAGAACGTACTTTAATACATTTTTTTTCCAAAAAAAGTCTAAACAATTTTTAGCTATTTTTTTTCCCCCTCCAGCGAAGCAAAATAAGGAAGGGTTTTGAAATGATACGCTCTCTTGGCCTGAGAGTTTAACAACTCAACTAACATATTTTAAATGGCCGCCTTTTCCTGAATAAAATTTCAAGTTCCCTACATAACTACGGGGAGGCAGAATCATTGGGGAGGGGGGGAATATAGAACAATTTGCTCTGCTGTCGGTGATCCGCATGGATGGATTTTGTTTCTATTTTGTTTCTTTGGATTCTTTTATAGGCAGTAGAAGTGCCTGACTCCAGGTCTTGTTTGTTTTTTTAAAAAAGCCAACATTCAGGAAAAGAGAAACTTCCAAGTGGAATTTTAAAATATAAAATCTCAGATTTGCCAAATCTGCCCCAAATAAAAATGACCCCTTCCCTAATTTCTCAGCTTTTATTCTACTAGCTAAAAATATACCCGCAGCGAGGGGTGTGTGTGTTTGCACGTCTGTAGGCAGAATTCGCAGTTTGGTGCAATTTCAAGGCAATGTGTCCTTAGGTGGACACAATTTGGGGGTGGGGGGTGTTGATGCTTGGAATGAGAAAGCGGGTGCTGGTGAAGTAGAACTGGGGGGATTCTCAATCAAAATTTGCTTTGTTACAATCTTCTCTGTTGAAACGTTCAACACCCCGCATCTTTCTTTCCTAAATTTTAACAGGGAGGCCACATTTTCTTGCTTGCTTGCTTGGGTGGCTTTCACGTGGAAGGTTATTTGTTTGTTCTCCTCCTCTGGGTCAAACAGATTCCTAATCCCAAAGAGCTGGCTTCTGTTTTCAGGCTGCAGCGGGCAGGCCCCTCTCTACCCGATGGTCAACGGTTGGGTCTATCCCTATTTCGGTCTCTTTTCTTTCTTTCTTTTTCTAGACAAAAATCGCTTTATCTTAAGTTCTTGCCAAATTAATTTAGGGGAACTTCCTCAGCATTCATTTAGAGCTTTCCAATTTTCGACCCGGCCTTATTTTTGCGTCCGCTGAAAAGAGGAATGACGTCGAAGCCTCCCCCCCCCGTTTCATTTTAACCCTTGAAATTCTGGAAGGGCTGCTTATCTGATCGGAGGTCGGGGGGGGGAAGGAGGGGAGGGTGTTTGGGGAGGGAGACCCCTAGGAATTCCCTCCGAATGGGAGCCGCACCGGAGAGAAAACGCCGCCTGCAACCTAACCTTTTTTTTTTCCCCCCACGGCTGTTTTTCGCTTTCTTCCTCTGTGCGAATGAATGATACAACTAATCAATGGGTGGGGTCGCCTCATTTCTTTCGCCCCCCCCACTTCTAATCAGTTTCATGTCAGTTAAACATCTTGGCTTTTAAAGAGGAGACTTGGGGGGTGATGAAGGCTTTTAAAGGGGAAAAAAAGCCCGACCATTTGATGCAAACGCGGCCTACATGTGCCTTTTCGAGGCAATTTAAAGTGTGTGTGTGTGTGGGGGGGGAGGGAATGCAGGCTTGGACCAGGTCTTCATCTGCGTATCAGGTCTCTGGCTCTGTTCAGCTACGGAAAGAGTGATGTGTGAAGCGGTCAGTCTACAGTTCGGCCGGCGTGGACGCTAGATTGCCCGGCCAAAATATCCTCCGGTTTCAGCCTTTTCTTTGTCCTTCTCTCTCTCTCTCTCTCTCTCTCTCTCTCTCTCTCTCTCTCCCTCCCCCCCCCCTGGCCTTTTCCCTCTTTAGCGGCACCTCCAGCTATGGCGCGCGGGGGGGCGTCTTTGAGGTATCTTGATTTTCTTGGGGGGGGAGCACAGGGGGAAGGCCGTCCGTCTTCGAGCAGCGGTAGCGGTGGAGGACGGCGGCGGGGATACGGGGGGGGGGGAGGAGGACGGCAGCGGCGGCTTTCCAAGCTCAGCGGTGGGAGGGGGGGGAGGAAGGATTGAAAGGGAAAACAGTCGGCCCCCGCCTCTCCCACCCACCCCCCTCCGCGGCCCTGTTTAGGGTTGCCGGACGTCCCCTTTACAAAGGGGGGGGGCGCTGCTTTTCGACCCCAGCCCTCGATCCTCCTGGTTGCGACCCCTGGCCCAAACCCGCCCTCAGGTGCCCTCGGACGCCTCCGGTTTTTTGGCCTGTTTCTGACCCAGCTCCGTTGTGTCCTTCCCGGCTCTCCTACCCCGTCCCCCGGCTTCCCTTTCGTGTACGTGCCTGTCTTCCCTCCCTCCCTACGATCCCCCCTCCTCCTCCTTCCCCCCCTCCCCGCTGTAGGTCCCCGAACGAGGAAGCTGAAGAAGAAGAAGAACGAGAAGGAGGACAAGCGGCCGCGCACGGCCTTCACCGCCGAGCAGCTGCAGAGACTCAAAGCGGAGTTCCAGGCCAACCGCTACATCACCGAGCAGCGGCGGCAGACGTTGGCCCAGGAGCTGAGCCTCAACGAGTCCCAGATCAAGATCTGGTTCCAGAACAAGCGGGCCAAGATCAAGAAAGCCACCGGCATCAAGAACGGCCTGGCCCTTCACCTCATGGCCCAAGGACTGTACAACCATTCCACCACCACGGTGCAGGACAAAGAGGAGAGCGAGTGAAGCCGGCCCGGCCCGGCTCGGCTCGGCTCGGCCCGGCTGTCCCCCACAGACTGCCCCCTCGCCCCGCCCCGCCCCGTCGCTCCCCCAGCCCCCCGTTGGCTCCTCTTCATTTCTTTCGCCTTTAATTCTCCCTAAGATTATTATAATTATTATAATTATTATTAAAATATTATTATTATTATTATTATTATTACGAACCTGAGTGACAGGGAAAAGACAAAAGAAGCCCGTTTGGCAAAGCTAAGCGGGAAAACAAAACCGGGCAAGGGCAGCGAGGCCGGCCGCGGGGGAACTCGGACGAGGGTGCTGTTTTTTGGTTTTTTTTTTTTTTTCAAGAAAACGAATCCAATTGATCGGTTTGTTCGCAGTTTTGAGGATTCCACGATTCAATTCCGAACACTTAAAAAAAAAAAAAGAGTCTATAGAGCCAAACATCGTAGGAGCTTGTATATATTTTCATTTCAGGTAAGAAAGTCAATGATGAAAAAAAAAGTGTAGTTTTTTTTTAAAAAAATTTAAATTTTTCTTTTCTTTTTTTTTTTAGCTCAGCCATTTGAGCGCTCCCCTCTCACGTCTCCCCAAATCGCTGGGTCTTTATTTTCCTCATTTGTTTCCTTAATTATTAATCTCCCTTTCCCCCCCCCCTCCCCCGCAGCCTCAAATCCCGTCAGCATCTTAGTTTTGAAGTGTTTGTCTGGCTCCTCTCTCCCCCCCCCACCGCTTTGTTTTCTGCCTCCTTTCCCCGCGTTCTCGTGTGTGCCTCGGCCGATCTTGAGTTTGTGTGTGCGCGCGTCCCTTCCCGAGGAACACCGGTGACCCACAGACTGCCAGACTGAACCCTTGCTGCAAGCCAAAGATTTTTTTCTGTAGTCTGAAATAAAACGTAGATTGTGTTCAGGATATATGTCGGTTCTGTAATCCTTTCTCTCTCCCCCCCCCCTCAGCCTTCCCCACTTTTATACATACATATATGGAAACACCCCACACTGCTTACATACATATATATATCTCCTCTCGGTCTACTTGGTAAATATTTCTTCTTTTAAAAAGAGGCAATCAATATTTCATTAAAACTCTTGTTTTCTTGGCTTTATTCGCTCTCAGATCCCCCCCCACTCCTTTTCATTCTGCGGAAAACCAATTAAACATGCTAATAGGGCGAATGGTTTGCTTCTTCGGATGGGAGGTTTGCTTCGGAACTAAATCTTACTAGCGGTGTAAGAGCGAGGTACTTGCTCCCCACCCCACCCCAAGTGCCCCCCAAATGTGCACTAGGACCGGGGCCTCCCCCTCAACCCCCAACTCCTGTTCTTCCTCTTCCTCTTCAGGATCCGTAAGCCTAAATGCATTTGTTTTCAGTGGAACTTGAACTGGCCAGGGCTCACTTTAAGTACAATTTGGAACAGCCCCAGCTGAAGTGGGACTTTCGGGCCTCAGTGGTGTGGTGTTATAGGAAAACCTGTTTTTTTTGTGTGTGTGTGTGTGTGTGTGCACATTAATAATAGTGGCACAAATTCTATGGCTCTTTCCAGTTCTAGGATGGGTGAGAAAGAAAATTTGTCTGAGAGCATCCTGCCTTGTATCCGTAATCATATTGAATTTCTGCTGAGGTGCCTTTTGCCAGGAAGGAAAAGAGAGAGGGGGGGGGAGGGAGGGAGGGAGAGAAGAGAAGAGAAGAGAAGAGAGAGAGGGTGAGTGAACAAGAATGATCAGTACTTTGCAGACAGTTGCTTAGCAGCACCGCATAATGAATAGAGTGGTGAGGGGAGAGATTGTTTTCCTTCCTTGGCCTTCCTTGAAGCAGCCACAGTGGTGATGATGATTGTGGTGCTGTTACTATTATAGAATCTTCCCTTTATTTCTTCAATTTTCACTTGCGGTGAATGAATGCTTGGGTGAATAAAAACCCGGTTCTCTAATAGTCCGGCCCTGATTAGAACAAAAATGCTATTTGATTTACTTGGAGACCTCACCATCCTGGGAGTTCAGGATTAATGGTGTGTTATAGTGACTCTTCCATGAAATTGCTCGGTGTCTTAGAAGCATATAGGGTTCTTTTAAAAACCAAAAGCCCTTTTCCTTCCTTCCTTCCTTCCTTCCTTCCTTCCTTCCTTCCTTCCTTCCTTCCTTCCTTCCTTCCTTCCTTTCTTTCTCTCCCTTCCTTCCTTTCTTTCTTTCTTTCTTTCTTTCTTTCTTTCTTTCTTTTCCTTCCTTCCTTCCTTCCTTCCTTCCTTCCTTCCTTCCTTCCTTCCTTCCTTCCTTATTTCCTGCCTGCCTGCCTGCTTTCCTGCCTCTGGACATGTACAGGTGCAACACCTGCATTGTATGCACGCTGTCACGTGTGTGATCCCTAGTAGGACTGGGGAAGCATCACAAAAGGCCATCAACAGGCTATATAAATAATATCAAGCCAGATAGATCAATGGATCCATTCTAGGCCTGGGCAGCACCCTGTATTCTTGTTTCAGCTGAATCCAAGGATTCTGCAATCGAAGCGGCCTTCCTGGGAAATAAACGTCTGATTTTACTGGGGTTTGTTTTAAACAAATATGGCTGTATCTGACCTTATGTCTGACTATTTTTCATAACTGATTCTTGCTCTTCTTAGGAAGTGGGTGTAAAAGCAGCAAACCAGAAGCGAGATTCACCGCAGCCAACCCACCTTGCTCGATATGTACTTCATTTAAAAACAAAACTTGATTGTGATAGAATTATACTTCATAACTAAAGTCAACCCGTCAATGCTGAGAGCCTTTGCCCAAATTATAGAAAATATAAAAAAATAAATTAGAAGGGTGGGGGGAGGAGAAAGAAAACTTAACGATGGGGATTGTTGACTTACTTTTCCCCCCATTGAAATCTAAAGTTTAAAGTGAAGTTTAGGGGGAAAAATTCTTCGGATCGTTGAGAAATGTAATTTGTCAAGGATAAGTCCATATTGTTGTTCAGTGTAACTTGGTTCAGTGGGAGATCCTCGATCAGGATGGATCCTATCCTCGAAAAGGAGATTGCGAGGCTGTTCTAGTCAGACTGGCCTGTATTGAGTCGCCTCAGCGAAATTCTTAGCTGCATGGAAAGCCGGTTTAGGATTCCAGTCTGGGTTAGTTAGTCTGCTTTGGTGTATGTCTCACTGATGTGAAGGATCTGCAAACCTCTTGAACACCCAGCCTAGTGGTTAAAAACCTGGGGAAGGTGTGCTTTCCAATCCGGAAGTATACATTTCCTGATCATTTTAACCCACCCGCAAAATCTCTGCTGCCCTTCCTTAATTTAAAGTGCCAGAGCATTTTCCGAACAAAGCCCTACAGCTGATAGGCCTTGCAAAGTATAGGTGCGGGTCATTTTAGGCACCTGCTCTGGAGTCGATCCCATGACAAGTGATCCTAACAGTGGAATTAACTGTCTAGAAACCATTAATAAAACCCAGACTATATGGTGCATTTTTTTAAAAAAAACAACAACAGTTCAACACTCCTCCATTCTCCTAAAACCGAGCCAAACCTCAGAGCTGGGGGCTGCAGGAACCGTTTGGAGATAGTCAGAAATTGATGAGCTTCTAAAATCTCCTGCCGATGGAACAAACCAGGTAGCCCTTGGAATCATTGATCTTGGTTTATAGTGTGCTTATTCTACATTCTCCCCCAAAGGTGGCCTGCAAGCCTCTTGATCCCATTTATCTTCAGAGCAGTAACCCTGAAAAATAGGATGGAGGCCTCTTGTTATTGGTCCAAAAGTCAGTTCTGTTTATGGCTCACAGATGGGGACTTAGCTCCCCTTTTCCCAGACCACCTAGGTAGAATATTGTTTTCCCCTAGCCAGGCCAATGTCCAGTGGATTTTCATTTCAAGATGGGGAGGGGGGGGGAAATAAATTTTATAAATATATATTATGTGAAAAACTACAGCACTTGACCGCTTTGCCCCTTGCAAACCTCTCCTATTGTCCAATCCACTGGAATTAAAACGAGGCTTTCTAAACACCCTGAAAATGAAACAAATAACACCCCCTTGTATAAATGTGCAGCCACCCATCCGATTGCTTAAAAGTCTCCTACTCTGGTTTTTTTTTTTTTTTTAAAAAAAAAACAGGACCATTTTTTTTTTTGCACCTACATGATTTCGAGTGGGATTTCCAGTTTTCCTACTGCCAAATCAGCATCGTAGAGAAAAATCTATCGCTGTGTAATCCAAAGTCACAGTCTCGTACCCCTCCAGGTGTCTCTCCTTAGATCTCATCCTAATGAAAGTAGCAGGATTTATTCCAGACTGAGCAGCATGCCCATCTGCTGGAGCTTGTCTCCTTCCTTGTCTTACCAGGCACTTTTATCAAGAGAGACGCAGGATGAGGCTAACAATGTGCAATTCCTGGGAGATCCTTGGTGCTCTCTGGGCTTTCTTGCTTTCTTGCAGACGTTTCATTACCCAAACTAGGTAACATCATCAGTGTTAGGCTAAAACTGATGGTGTTACCTAGTTAGGGTGATGAGACGTCTGTAAGAAAACAAGCAAGCTCAGAGAGCACCAAGGATCCCTGAGTTGCAAATATTCTCCTTTATTCGAGAGACCTCAGTGATGTTTGCAAAATATCAGACTCTGTAGCCAGAAAAAGTAGAAAGTTGTCCCTTTGAATCAGGGGCTTTCGGATTGTGCTCCAAATTTTACAGTCCCACTAAAAGAAGGGAATCGACTGCCATAATGTCCCCCTTTCTTTGGACAAAGAGGAAATTAATTAAGCTCTGGACTTCCGACATTATCGATTCGTAGCAAATAATAGAATAAAAATATTAATTTCTCTCCGTTGCCCGCTGACATTGTACAGAGTCCCCCACTGCACACTGCATAGGAAAAGAACTGATTTTCGTTGTTGGTGCTTTTTGCTAAGTAGAGCTGGACCAGCTCTCTGCTGGCGAAAGCAAGGCAGGTGCTGTAATTATTTCTCTCCTTTTTGCAGGGATATTTATAGAAGGTTAAGCCCCTCCCACCTTCTCCATCTTCTCTTTTATTTGCTGAACCTGAAAGCAGAAAGAGAAAATAATTGTTGTGGTTTTGATTTTGGAGAAATCCCTTTTCTTGTCTTTGGGCC